AGGATATTTGGAACTGTTAAAAAACATGCTTTATGCTTAATGGATCCATAAGTCTACCGCCTACATTTTTCTAAGTAACAGACAATTCACAATTTGGTCGCAATCTAGTTTTCACTGGAGACTAAGGTTTCTAAGAGCTAAAATTCTGCTAAGTGTAGTTAAAACTGATAAAAATAACAAAGCAGCTCTGTGTGTAGGAAAGTAGGAGATATGAAAGAAAGATATAAGAAATGTAAATATATTTTGTTGAAGGTAACAGAAAGTAATTTTGTCCTATACAAGACTGGTTCTTTGCAGAGAAATGGCTTGGGACAAAAGCTAAATGCAAAGAAAAGTTGTGGAAGTTTCGTGCAGGAAATCTTTAAAAAGGAATTTTATGTGTGGTCGGGACGGACTAAAGTTAAAGTAAATGGACTTGAAAACTATACGGGGTTGAGATTCAAATTCCTCCTCCTTTGAGCCAAAGGCTGGGAAGATGATGGCAATTCCCTTGGTGCCGGCCTCCAAATCCTCCACGTTTGTGTTGTTCCTGTTTAGCAGGGGACTGGATGCCTCTGCCAGATGACGGGGGGATGATATTTGAAGGGCTTTTACTCAGATACGTGGGAGCCGTTTTGCTAAACTTAGCCCATCGTATGCCACAAATGGATATTCACAGGGCTGAAACATATTTGTGTGGGCATTGCCGAGAAAGGCAGGGGAATAGACCTCGGCTTTGGCCCTTTAACCCCCTGCCTCAACGGCCAGTGATCAATATGTCAGTTACTGCTGAGCAGAAGTAAAATTAGTGCACCCTACAACAACTACAGAAAACATAACACATTTTCGTTAATGGTAATGAATAAGTAAGTCAATACATAAACGTAATACATTTTTGTTAATGGTAATAAATAAGTAAGTAAATACATAAACGTGTAAATAATTTTAACAAAAAGGGTAAAACAGCAGGACAACATGCCCTTTTAAGTTGTTTCACTTAAGCCTTGGTTGGAATTACCCATTTCTTACAATCCACAAGGCCAAGCAATTGTAAAATGAGCATATATTATGCTCAAAACATGTGAAAAAACAGAAAGGGGGAGATACCCCTGGCTGTCTGCATGACAACCTCAGCTTCTTGATCGGGCTATGATTACTCTTCACTTTTTAAATCTCAATCCTCAAGGACTCACCCCAGCTGAGGGACATTCTTTGAAATCAGATAAACCCTCTCACCCCGTGGTGCTCTGCAGAAACCCCTGAAGGGGGGCCCACACATACTGGGCCCACTCAGCTTCCCACCTGGGGTCGAAGATATGCTCGTGTTCTTTCAGATTCCCGACCTCTGTGGAGTCCCTCAGAGGGAACCATGAGGGAATGGCATGGTGGAGACCCCTAGGATATAGTCCGGTGAACCAAGACTTCCGGAGAATGACCCCGAGGGAGCGGCCCCCTTCTTCAAGGTGGGAGAAGCCTCTTCGTGGACTCCTCATCCTGAAGCCACTCTACCAACACAAGTCCTTGCCCATGATATAACACGGGGAAGCCTTAAAACGCCTGTCTAACCAGGCTGGCATCCTCTTACAACGCAGTGATATTGCATATACCCCTGATTCGCATCTGATGGCCGTGACTTCTGTCATTAACAAAAATTCAATACGTGTAAGCCTGATTATACTCCTTGCCCTCATTTTTCCAGGCCAAGCTCGATATTCATATCGGGCTCATCTCCTTAACCCACCTCTATTTGACAGCTTAACACTCCTAGGAGGCAGCGGGGTCAGTACTGTTGTCTGGACATGTCCTCCACTGTGCAGGGCTTCCCATGGCCGGGCCTGGGCTGTTGGGGGGTGTCCGAGCCACTGGAGGCTGGCACAGCCTTATTCTTATTAGCAACAATGACACTGAGTTCATGGGAGGAGCCACTCTTAACCCTCCCTTCCAAATGGAACAAGAGCATTGGCTTTAAATGCCAAGACCTCAGTGGTGGCTTCCTCCAGCACCTCCTGTGTGTGTTACCAAACTCAACAACTTATCTGCTCGTATTAAACGAAGAATCAATTGGCTTTTGCAAGTACAGCCCCAAACCTCTACAAGGCCAGACAATCCCCCTTTTTTCTCAGCCACAAGCTTTGCTATACCTCAAAAAACAAGCATATCTCACACTCCTAATGTTATAGCTTGCTCTAGTCTCAAATATTCAGACCACCCCTGGAACATTATTCCCTGGACAACCTGTTATGGAGAGACTGAACATAATCTTCACTGGGGTAATTGGACTGTTATGATAGGGGTCCTAGAGGATATCATGAAACAAAATAGTCTAATAAGACCGTATCCTTTGGCCAGCCTAGCAGGGGGATATTTTTTTGGAAAAATGGAGATTTGTCTGGCCCTATAGTTTCTGCATATAAAGGGAAATTAAAACGACCTTGGCTTGTTAGTCTTTGGAAGCTAGGTCTTCCCTTCTTCACTCTTCCTATTAGCCACGGTGAAATTTATGTAGAACCACATGCTAACCTAACTGGGGCCTCCCTGTACGATAACCAGTTCACATGGACCAGTTCAAGGGACTACTTGTGTCCCTTCTCCCTATGTTCTCTTTGCTACCTCCACCATCCAGATCTGACAACTAGGACATAATTATAATATCTCTATGCCCCAAGGCTGGTTTATGTCCTGCATAAGTCATGATAACATCACCCAATTAAACATCTCCTCTTTATTAGTGCTTAGACAGTGCGTCTCAGCCTGGTCCCTGTTAACAGCTCTGTGTCCTACATGCATCCATCAGGACCAGGCGTGCTTTCCAAGCTTCTTCGACACTGACACTCTGCTGCAAGGCGGAAAAGATTTGTTAGCCTATTAATCACGGGCATCCTAGTAGCAGTAGGCGTTATCACCCCTGCCACCGTAGCTGGAGTCAGCCTGCATCATACTATCCAGACAGCCCATGTCCTTAACAAATTAATAACACCAAAGAATCTGTAAGCCAAACTTCGATTAATAAACAAGTCTTGGCCTGCCTTGAAGCTCTTGAGGCTGCAGTGGAATTCATTGGAAAGAAACAGGAGGCCTTGTTCCTCCACTCTAAACTGCCCTGTGACCCTAACAACCAGCATATACGCGTGACTGCCATTCCTTAGAATCACTCCCAACTTGGGACGCTGTCCAGACACACCTTTGAAGTGTCTTTTCTTCCCACCTCTCTGACAATATAGAAGATTTAGATATGACATTGAGCCAACAGCTACAATATACAGAGGATCAGCTTAAAAATGAGTGAGCTGATTCCTGGGGAATGTGGCGTTACCTAAATCCTTTCTCACTTACAGCTAGCACCCATCTCAAATTCTGGACCACTCTGGGAGGCAGAATGCTTTTACTGTGTCTCTTTTTATGTCTTTGCAGAATCTCCCTCCAAGCCATCCAAAAGCAAAAGGAGGACCAGGAGCTCATCATGACAGTTCTCAAACACAAGACTAGAAGAACCAAGAAAAGCAAAAAGGGGGAAATGTGGGGGATAAGCTTAGGCCAAGGAGCAGGCCAAGGAGCAGGACACAGGCCAAGGAGTAGAACCAGGTCAGGAGGAAGAGGTCAGGGGCCTGGTGTGGGGGGACCTTCCGTGTGATGCTTTATAACAATGATGATGCTGGGCATGTGCGTGTGCTCAGGTGACCAGGGGTGCACGTGCACACACACCTGCAGCCTACACCTGGGGCTCTGTGCATGACGGCAGACCAGTCTCCAGCCTTGGCTGAGTCTGTCCAGGGGACTGGTCCAGCCTCACCTGTGATATCACCTGTGATGGAGAGGCCTGGTTTGTGCCTGGGGAGGGCTCCCATCTGCTGGGTGTAGGAGAGTGGACATTGGAGGAGGTCAGCGTGGACCTGGCCCTCAAGGAGCCTCGGGTGGGGGGTCGATCTCCTTACACACCTGCTTAGGGGATCAGGGGAGGGAAGGTAAGCAGGGCCAGGAGGCTGCTCTGATGACTGGAGAACAGATGTGCCTGGGGGCCTGAGCCAGGGAAGAGGGTGCCCAGAGGGCAGGGGGCAATGCTGTGGAGATGGGCTGAGGACCAGGAGTCCCAGCCTCATTGGGGACAGGGGCTGGTGCTGGGACATCACGGGGAGGCCTGCTGGGACACAGGCAGGTGGACTAGGGGGCTGAGGACTAGGGGGCACAGCCTTCCTGTGTGACCCCCCCCCCCCCACCACCACATTGCTGGCATGGCCTCCACATGGCATCTGCCTCTACCCCACTCCTAGGGCCACCTCTCCATGCTCGAGCAGCGGGGGGATGGTGTCCTGCTACCTGCTTGGCCTGAGGTGTCCACCTCTGTCCCTCCAGGGCCTTGCCTGGGTGCTGCCCCCTGATGAGGTGGTGAGGGGGCCTGATAGCCAGGCTCTGAGGGGAGAGTGAGCCCTGGACCTCCAGTGTGAGCCCCCACCCTAGTGGGCCTCTGTCCCCTCTGCCCTGCAGGTGGCCTGCAGTCAGGGCCTGCTGTGGGCATGTGCGGGTCAGATTCTCTGGGCGCCCCAGCCCAGCTCCCACTTCTGGGTGTACCTGGCTTCTGAGGTGCTGACTGTTCTCCCAAGCCAGTGGGGGTCCTGGGGCTTGGGGAGGCTCAGATGTCCCTGGGAGGGTTGTGTCTGGGATGACCAGCCTCCCCAGGGGAGGCCCCTGCTCTGAGCTCAGCAATGGGGCAGGTCTTGGTGGGAAATGGCTGCTCCTTGGGGGCCCGGCAGGGGTGACACCTACCTCCCACCCCTCCTAGTCCAGCACATGGCCTGTGGACATGAGGACAGGCTTCAGGGGGACAGGTGTCAGGGCATCCAAAGCCCTGAGTGCAGGGAAAATGTGTGCACACTCCAGGTGCCCACCAGGCTGGGGCAGGGTCATCCTGGCTGGGTGGCACAGACCCTTGGCTGCAGCCCCAGGACCTAGCCCTTCAGCTCCTCTGGGACTGCCCCTCCCCACCCCCCCCCCCAGCCCTGGCCCCGTGCCCATGTGTGACTCACTGGCCGTGTCTGGGCTCCAGCTGGCGTTGAGCAACCTTCGGGAGGCCTCGTGCCGGACCACACACGTGTAGGTGTCCGGGCGAGGGGCCTGGGCCGTGCGGATGTGCAGGATGCTCCAGGTCTCGAAGGTGCTGCTCCCCAGCTCAGCTGCGGGGGGTGCAGTGGCAAAGGAAGCAGAGTCTACCTGGACCTGGTCCCTTAGCCAGGTGAGGAGGACGTCTGGGGGCGAGAAGCCGGACACCTTGCACAGGAGCCAGGAGGCTGCTCTGGACACAGTCAGGACGTGGACCGTGAGGCTGCTGGGCGCAGAGGCAGCTGCGAGGAGAAGCCTGGTCATGCGCGGGCCACCCGGGGCCTTGGGGGAAGCTGGGTGGCCCGGGTCCCGGACAGAGGAGCGGCTGTGCCGGGCGGGGGGTGCGCGCGCAGGGCCCCCAGCCTCACCGTGTTCCCTGGGGGCTGTGGAGGGGGCCTCACCGTGTTCCTTGGGAGCTGCGGACACCACTTGGGAAGCCACGTCCGGGCCGCTCAGCGTGCAGGTGATGTTGGCCCCCGAGGCCCAGGAGGCCACGGGCAAGTCCAGGCGGCTTCTCAGGCTCTGGGAACCATTGGCATTCTCCTCCAGCGGCCCACTGTCCACACCCGCGTGCAGGGGCGCCCCGGCCACCTCCCAGGACAAGCGGGCCTCCTGAAGGCCAGCCCCCACTGCCAGGCAGGTGAAGGTGGCCCGTCCCTTGAGCCATGGGCCCTGCAGGGGAGGCTGTGGCAGGTAGAGGCTGGGAGGGCTGGTGTGGTTCCGACACTCTGCCAGAGGACAGTGGCCTCGGTCACTGGGGGCACTGGGGCGCGCAGACCCGGCCTGGGGGTGGTGCTGTGGGCAGTGCGACATGCCCTCTCTGACTGCCCGGCCTGCTGCTCTCCCTGGTGCAGACCCGGCCTTTGTCGCCTCCTGGCCTCCCGCCGCCGGCCCGGGGGCTTGCTCCCGAGCTGGGCTGTCCCCGGGGCTCCCAAATCTGTCCTTCCCCTTCTTCCCCGCTCTGTGCCCCAGGGCACTGACCTCTGCGACTGGCGTCCGCTGTCCTTTCCGGCTCTCTGGTTTGCACCTGGGTGTGGCTGGTGGAAGGCACTGCGGAGGGAGGTGGGGGGAGAGACTGTGTGCTGCACACGTGGTCGGGCCGTGGCCTCCCTGGGCCCCTCAGCCTTCCTGCTCTCTGGGGTTCTGAGACCTGCCCGGACCCGCCACTGCCCCCTAGTCACCACGCCACAGTCACTTCCACACTTGTGGCGACAATGGCCGGTGAGTTACCGGTCCCAGAAGTTTGCTCTGTAAAGGGTCAGACAGCAAATCTTTAGGCTTTTCTGCCTCTCCTCCTCTCACCCCTTCCCCGCCTCCGCCATTCCTCTCAAACTGCAAAGACTGTTCCCAGCTCGTAGGAGGAAACAGGCTGTGGGCAGCGTCTGGCTGCGGGCGTGCTGAGGCTCACATGCCCCGGGGGACGCGGACCGGTGAGCGAGTCCCGCTGCACAGACCACTCTGCATTCTTGCCCGGGGGACTCCCCTGTCTCTTGATCAGTCCCCCCACGTGGAGCCAGGGCCCTGGCCGTGTTTGGAGATGGGGGTGCCGCGGTTCTGGCCTGGGTGGGGGCCACCCGTGGGGGGAGGCCCTCTGTCCAAATGCTTCTGCTAACGTGGCACAGGAGTGACTGTCAGACCCTCCTCCGGAGACGCCAGCAGGGCGACGGGGAGCCAGTGTGGGCGGGAGGGGAGGGCGGCTCCTGCTGCGGGGAGGCCTTGGGTCCCATGCCACGGCCCCCGAGCCTTCAGGGGGCATGCTACAATTCTGTAAGGGTCACTCCTGGCCGCTTTGGTGACGCATCCTCAAGTGAGGCCCCATGACAAGCTCAGGGCCCAGTCCTGTGGGCTGCTGGGTCAGCTGCGTCCCAGTCCTGGCCCGTGGGCCTGCCTTTGTCAGCTATGCTTTCGCGGGGTGTCTTGGGTGGGTCTCCTGTTCACAAAGGGCCAGAGGCGTGTCTGCTGGTGCCAAGCACAGGGCCTGGCGCACAGTGGGTGCTTGGTAGACGTCAGTTCAGGGCCTGTCTTTCCTGACTCAGATGGGACTTGAAGCCTTGCGGGAGAAGTCATGGAGGGCTGCCTGAAGGGGGCATCCTAAGAGATGGGGCGGCAGGAAAGGGTGTGCTGGGGTGGGGGCTCCTCACCTGAGACCCTGGCAGTGCTGGGCACTGTGGTGGAGTCCTCTGATGGGGTTGGCCCAAGAGTCGACAGGGGGGTCTTATTTTCCCAAGATGCTGAAATCAGAGGAAAGTGGCAGGTGAGGGTCGGACCGTGTGTGCACTGAGGTGGGAGGGCTGCGTGGTGGACGGGAGGACCTGGAAATGGCAGGAGGGAGGGACGAGCTGGTTGTGCTGTGCAGAGGTGGGGACTGGGCCGTGGGGAGCCTCACACTCAGCCTCTGCCTTTCTTTTGCACCCTGAGGACAGGGTCTGCGGGGAAAGGGTTTGAGGGTCGGGGTGATGAGGGGTGACCCTCATGGGCGCCGTGCTGAGGCCTGGGTGCCTGTGTCGGTCCTTGGGGTCAGGCCCTGGTGGAAGGTGTGGGAGACCCGGGAGGGCCCTCCTTGTGGTCTCGGGGCCACCCACCTGGCCACCGGAAGGCCTTCTGCAGCTTGCCGCTGGCGGTGCTGCACTGGTGGGGGTCTGGCTTCCACCGGGCAGTCAGGAAGGACAGCTCAATGTTGTCTGGTGCCTTCAGCGTGAAGAGATTGGTCTTTGTGGCCTGGTCCCGCTTCTCCGAAACCGAGGTCACCTGCACTGACTCTCGGGAGTATCCTCTTGCCAAGCAGGCCAGGACTACAGGGTCGCCTTCTTTCGGGGCTTGACACCCCGAGACCAAGGGGAACACGTGCAGCTCTTCTCCGGAGGCTGAAAGACAGACACGGGGTTCCGGGGTTGGGGCTCCCAAGGGTGCGGGGTGGGGGTGTGTGGCAGGGCAGAGCCGGCCGAGTGGCCGGGGCTCCCACTGCGGAGCCCGAGGTTGGGGTTGCCCAGACCCCAGTGCAGGGTGGTCCCTCCGTGATGGGCCCGGGGCCATGTGTCCCCACACCCAGGGCTCCAGCTGCTGGCCCCTGGCCACCGCGGCACAGGTGCCGTTTGCCTGCAGAGGGGCCACGTGGCCAGACTTCTGTGTGGTTCTCCGAGGAGTGGGTGGGGTCGGCCCTCCCCCCCCCCCCCCCCCCCCCCCCCCTGTGCCCCGGGGCGGGGGGGACAGGCTGTGCTGCACACTGGGCCCTACGGGTGGCAGGTCCCAGGATGAGGGACTCCAGGTGGGCTGTCCCAGTCCCCTTGTCCTCTCCCCAGGGACCTGGCTGGCCAAGGGCGGCTGAGCAAGTGTGAGGCCCCTGAGGGCTCTGCTGTATCTTAGTCTGTGGGCCCGTTCCTCCTGGCTCCTGCCTCACCCCACATCCCCCCAGGGCACCGTGCTGCCGTTGTGTAGACAGGGTCAGTCATGCCCATTCTTCAGCCTGGACTGAGGTTGTCTGGGTGGGTGGGGGTGCCAACCCCCCTCCTCACTGGTCCCCCGGGGGCGGGACCCACCTCTCTGCTCTCCCAAGCACCTGGCCGCCGTGCCCCTGCCTTCTCCCATCCACATGCCAGAGGCCCCCGCTGCGCAGCCTCCCTGTCTTCCCCCCGGGCCTTGAACTTGGGTCTGTGGGCTGCATTGCACCCTAAACCCCAGTGCCTCAGAACGTGATCTTGTTGGGGGGACGCAGTCACAGTAGATAAAGTCATGAGGTCATACTGCCAGAGGGTGGGCTCCAAATGCAGCGTGACTGTCCTTACAAAAGGGGATATAGACATGAACAGGACATGCTCTGCATGAGGAGGATGGTGGGACTGGGGGGAGGACCGGTGATCAGACAGGGGTTATGCCAAGGATGATGGTGGGACTGGGGGGAGGACTACGGATCAGACATGGCGCTGCGAGCGAGGACGATGGTGGGACTGGGGGGAGGACCAGGGATCAGACACGGTGCTGCGCATGAGGACGACGGAGGGACTGGGGGGAGGACCAGGGATCAGACACGGCGCTGAGCGCTAGGACGACTGAGGGACTGAGGGGGAGGACTAGGGATCAGACACGGTGCTGCGCGCGAGGACGACGGAGGGACTGGGG